AGAACATGAAGAGATACTTTTCAAAAGAAGACATATATGCAGCCAACAAGCCTATACAAAAAAAGCTCAATATCACTGATGATCAGAGAAATGCAAATCAAAACCACAATGAGATATCATCTCACCAGTCGAAATGGCTATTATTAATATTAAAACGTCAAAAAACAACAGATGCTGGCAAGGTTGCGGAGAAAAGGGAACACTTATAAACTATCGGTGGGAGTGTAAATTAGTTCAACTATTGTGGAAAGCAGTATGATGATTCCTCAAAAAGCCAAAAGCAGAACTATCATTTGACCCAGCAATCCCATTACTGGATATAAACCCAGAGGAATATAAATCATTCTACCATAATGACACATGCATGCAAATGTTGACTGAAGCACTATTCACAATAGCAAAGACATGGAATCAACCTAAATGCCCATCAATGACAAACTGGATAAAGAAAATTTGGTATATATAAACCACAAAATACTACACTGCCATAAAAAAGAACGAGATCATGTCTTTTGCAGGAACATGGATAGTGCTAGAGGCTACTATCCTCAGCAAAGTAACGTAGGAACAGAAAACCAAATACCGCATGTTCTCACTTACAAGTGGGACCTAAATAGTAAGAACTTATGAACACAGAGAGGGAAACAACAGACACTAGGGTCTGCTTGAGGGTGAAGGGTGGTAAGAGGGAGAGGAGTAGAAAAGATAACTATTGGGTACTGGGTGATGAAATAATTTGTAAACAAACCCCTGTGACATGAGTTTACCTATGTAACAAACCTTCACATATACCCAGGAAACTAAAATAAAAGTAAAAAATAAATTAATTGTTAATTCTCTTTCAAGCAAAAACGGGGCATCTTTATTCTCTAAAATATTGCACAGGTAGGTGTTGCTTTGGTATCCAAAAGAATCATTCTGTGGGCTGACTTGTTAAAAGCTTTCATCTCGGCCGAACATGATGGCTCATGCCTGTAATCCCAGCACTTTGGAAGGCCAAGGCAGGTGGATCACCTGAGGTCAGGAGTTTGAGAACAGCCTGGCTAACATGGTGAAACCCATCTCTACTAAAAATACAAAAAATTAGCTGGGCGTGGTGGCAAGCGCCTGTAATCCCAGCTACTCAGGAGGCTGAGGCAGGAGAATTGCTTGAACCCAGGAGGTGGAGGTTGCAGTGAGCCAACATCATGCTGCGAAACTCCGTGAAAAAAAAAAAAAAAAAAAGAAGTGTTTGACACAGGACTCTGCAACCACAGACCTGCACATGTGTGAGGGAAATGTGACTAGGGATCTCAAAACATTTCACTTAATGTCCACTTTTTGGATCAATTTTCTTTCTTTCCTTTTTAGTAATGTTGCAAAAAGTATGAATGTTAATAATTAATGAATGATATGCCTACTATAGGTCCACAAATTTTTTTCATAATTTTTAAATATAATAAACAATAGGAATTGAAAGTGTCTCATTGACTGACTTAAGACTGACAGGATTTTATAATGTCTGGCGTCCAGTGAAAAATTGCCAGGCATAAAAAGCAGCAGGAAAATATGATCCATAAGGAAGAGAAAAAACAACCAATAGAAACAGGACCAGAAATGACACAGGTGACACAATTAGACAAGGATGGTAAAGGTTGTAACTGTTTTCCATATTTTCAACAGAGTGAAAGCACAATAAGCGTTATTACAGCCCTAATCATTTTTACATTTTTTAACAGATCACCATTTTTTAATTGTGTAATTCAGTGGCATTAATTACATTCAAAACATTGAACAACTGTCATGACTATCTATTTCTAAAACATTATCATCATCCCCAAAAAGAAACTCTGTCAAGCAATAGCTTTTCTCCCTCCCACTCTCCATCCCCCAAATTCCTGGTAAGTTCTATTCTACTTTACATCTCTATGAATTTGCGTATTCTAGATACCTCATATATGTGGAATCACACAGTATTTGTCCTTCTTTGTCTTGCTTTTCTTTAGCATGATATTTTTAAAGTTCATCCATACTGTAGTATATATTACAATGCCAATCCTTTTTATGGCTGAGTATATTCCATTGTGTGCATATCAGCCAAGCTGTCACGTTTCGTTTATCAATTCATTTGTTGAGAAACACATGGTTTGTTTCTACCTTTTGGCTACCATAAATAATGCTGCAGTGAACACTGGCTTACAAGTCTCTGTTTAAGTTCATGTTTTCCATTCTTTGGGGTATTAAAAGTGAAATTGCTGGGTCATATGGTAATTATATGTTTCAGCTTTTTGAGGAACTGCCAAGTTGTTTTCTACAGTGGCTGCATCATTTTACATTCCCACCAGTAATGTATGAGTGTTCCAACCTCTCCACATCCTTGCCAACACTTATTTTTCATTCTCTTTTAAAAAGCGTAACCATCCTACTAGGTATAATCTCATTATAGTTTTAATTTGCATTTCTCTAATAACTAATGATTTTCAGCATTTTTCAAGTACCTCTTCTTTGTACTTCTTTGTAGAAATATTTCTCAAATTCTTTGCACATTTTTGCATTAGGTTGACTATTATTGAGTTGTAGGAGTTCTTTATATATTCTGTATAACAAATACCAGTTATATGATTTGCAAATCTTTTCCCCATTTTGTAGGCTGTCTTTTTACTTTCTTGATAATGTTCTTTGGTGTGCAGAAATTTTTAATTTTGATGAAGTCCAATTTATTTTCTCTTTCATTGTACATGCTTTTGGTGTCATATCTAATAAGCCACTGCCAAACTGAAGGTCATGAAGATTTACCCGTATATTTTCTTCTAAGAGTTTTATGGTGTTCACATTTAAATTTTTGTCATTGATTCATTTTGAGTTTATTTTTGTACATAGTGCGATGTAGGGGTCAAACTTCATTCTTTTGTACATAGAAATCCAGTTGTCTCAATGCCATCTGTTGAAGAGAAAATTCTTTCCCCATTGAAGTGTCTTGGCACTCTTGTTAAAAATCAGTTGGGCATATAAGTATGGGCTTCCTTCTGGGCTCTCCATTCTACTCCATTGGTCTGTGTGTCTAATATTAGGCCAGTACCAAACTGTTTTGATTAACTGTAGTTTTGCAGTGAGTTTTGAGGTTGGTAAGTGTAAGTCCTCTAACTTTGTTCTTTTTCCAGACTGTGTTGGTTATCAAGGCCTCAAGCCATTTCATATGTATTTGAGAATCTGCTTTTCCATTTTTGCAAAAAAGGTTGTTGGAATTATGATAGACATTGCACTGAATCTATAAATAGCTTAGGGTAGTACTGACATCTTAATAATATTTAGTCTTTCTATTCATGAATATGGAATGTCTTTTGTCAATTTATTTTTATCTAACAGAAAGTGAGTTACAGGAAACAAGCCAAAAGACCCAATGGCAGCTCTAGTCCCCTAAACTAACATGGCTTTCATTTCTCTACACTATGAAGAAAATATGACTGACTAACCCTGGAATAATTTCCAGGGTCAATGAGATCTTACATTAAAAGTGTAACAAAAATCTCACAAAAACAGCTGTTTAAACATTAACAACTTAGATAAGAAAAGTTGTTATGGTTTTATGATTGTATAGCTCTATCACAAAATTAATCAAACACATAGACACACAATAAAACATATTCTTACACACAGAAACACACACACAATAAAAGACTGTTAGTACTCTTTATTTATATAATTTGATATTATACCACAGAAGAAGGGGAGGTAATTATCTATAACTAATATATTAAAATAACATAAAATAATTATACTTTATTCCATTTAATTCCTATAAGAATTCAGAATCTCATACAACATCTCATCATAAACCTCACAAACTTTCATGAGAGGTGCAGGAAGGCAGTTGTATCTCGGAGTTGTATACCTCGGCTGATGGAGAGATGGATGTGGTATTATCATAGAGAATTGCTCAGTGTGCTACAGCTGTCTCTTATACACATCTAGATGTGTATAAGAGACAGGGGCACAGTGGTGAGATCTCGGCTCACTGCAACCTCTGCCTCCGGGGTTCAGAGATTTTCCTGCCTCAGCCTCCCAAGTAGCTGGGATTACAGGCATGTGCCACCATGAACAGCTAATTTTTGTATTTTTAGTAAAGACGGGGTTTCACCATATTGGCCAGGCTGGTTTCGAACTCCTGACCTCATGATCCACCTGCCTGAGCCTCCCAAAATGCTGGGATTACAGGTGTGAGCCACTGTGCCCAGCCCCATCAGGAAATTTAATTCCTCATCTTGCCAAGTAAGTGGCTGGTTAGTCATCACTTCCAGCAGGAATAAAAATGACAGGGATTGTTAACAATTTCTTAAGTGAAGAAATTACAAAAAGCCCATAGCTAAATGATGTCATTTCTCAGTCTCAGCACTACTTGACTACTTCTTTCAGTTGCAACAGATAATAAAAGTATCATCATTCCTCTTTGTCGTCTGTTGTTGTTGTTGTTGTTGAGACGTAGTTTCGCTCATGTTGCCCAGGCTGGAGTGCAATGGCTGGATCTCAGCTCACCGCAACCTCCACCTCCTGGGTTCAAGTGATTCTCCTGCCTCAGACCCCTGAGTAGCTGGGATTACAGGCATGCATCACCATGCCCGGCTAATTTTGTAATTTTAGTAGAGACAGGGTTTCTCCATGTTGGTCAGGCTGGTCTCGAACTTCCGACCTCAGGTGATCCACCTGCCTTAGACTCCCAAAGCGCTCGTATTACAGGCATGAGCCACCATGCCCGGCCTTGCTGTTTCTAAGGTAACAAATAGTTCCTCCTACCTCATGATTCGTCAAAATACATTTTTGCTCAAACGACATTTTAGAATGACACCATAACTACAATGCTCACATAGGTATACAAAGATAATGTGAACCGCAATGCTTGGGTAGACAAAAAAATTGTAAAGATGAGGGAAAGTTATGTAATTCAGACTTGAACCAATGGTGTGTGTGTGTGGCCTAGTGGTTTTGGTTTATTTATTTATTTATTTATTTTTAATTAAACTTACATCGCTGAGCCTTTCCCGAGAGCTGCTCCGGTGGAAGCCCTTCGATTCTCCACTGGCACTTTCACTGTCACTGTCCCTGCAGCTGTTCTGTCCTGGCTTGAGCTAAACGCAAAAGAAAAGAGGAAAAAGGAAAAAGTTAGTGGTCTCCTTTTTTTTTTTTGAGACGAGTCTCACTCTGTCGCCCAGGCTGGAGTGCAGTGGCCGGATCTCAGCTCACTGCAAGCTCCCCCTTCCCCGGGTTCACGCCATTATCCTGCCTCAGCCTCCCGAGTAGCTGGGACTACAGGCGCCCGCCACCACGCCCAGCTAGTTTTTTTGTATTTTTTTTTTTAGCAGAGATGGGGTTTCACCGTGTTAGCCAGGATGGTCTCGATCTCCTGACCTCGTGATCCGCCCATCTCGGCCTCCCAAAGTGCTGGGATTACTGGCTTGAGCCACCGCACCCGGCAGTGGTCTCCTTCTTAGTTCCTGTTTTTGATTCTTGTCAACAGTGAAGAGCCAGGCACGGTGGCTCACGCCTGTAATTGCAGCACTTTGGGAGGCTGAGGTAGGAGGATCACGAGGTCAGGAGTTTGAGACTAGCCTGACCAACATGGTGAAACCCTGTCTCTATTAAAAATGCAAAATTTAGCTGGGCGTGGTGGCACGTGCCTATAGTCCCAGCTACTCAGGAGTCTGAGGCAGGAGAATCACTTGAACCCAGGAGGCAGAGGTTGCAGTGAGCTGGGACTGCATCAGTGCACTCCAGCCTGGACGACAGAGTGAGACTTCATCAAAAAAAAAAAAAAAAAGTGAACAATTTAAGGTTCTGATCTTTAATATTCTTCTGTTTCTGAATACTGCCAGGCAAGCTGCCATAGAAAAAACACAGAGGGTAGAATAAGCAAAATATTCACCATGAAATGTCAATGTAGAGAAAAGAGTGGGCAAGCCTTAAATAAACATCTAAAAAGCCAAACCAAGGTCCATAAATTAGAAAGTAGTCTTTCCATCAAATTTTTTCTTCTGTTCCACTGCAATTTTTTTTCAGTAATGAAAAGACCAAAAACATTGAATAAGCTGAAGTGAGATTACACCAACTATGATTTCTTACCTTTTTTCTTCTGTCTTGTCGCAAAAAAAGAAACAAATCAGAGCAAAATAAAAGAAAGTTTTCTTCTCCTAGGAAAAAAATGATGAGATGCTGCGATGTTATCCTTTAAACAGTGGGATGACACCTAATGATCTTGTTTATTGAGATAACATCCTGGAGGCTTCTTACTGGATATTTAAAAGAACCAATGAAGACCTACAGATTAAGTAAATTAAATCAGCACTTATTCAACAAATAATGTATTAAGTGCCACATCTGGGCTAGAACTAAGTGCTGAAGATATGCTACTACACCAAAAAAAAACAAAACAAAAGTCTTCTCATGAAGTTTATATTCTAGTGGTTTCTACACATTTAACAAGCTCCAGTTTTCCATTAAAAATGAATAAAGACGTAAAATTGAAAACCATCAGTCTATATGAGACTGTAAGTCATAAATATATGGAGCATTGGTCTACAATATCATCACCAACCACATTTTCAGAAACACCAAGCAATGTAGTATATAGGTTACAAGTCACAGCCCCTTGACAATGTTTTCAATGTAACAAGACAAAGGCAGCACAAGACAAGCAAATACAACACCACAAGGAGATACATGTTCAATGAAACCAAAAAGTAGCCAGGGAGGTTCAGAGAAGTGATTTCTGAAGCCTTGGATTTTGAAAGTAGATTAAACTCATGGCTCAGAGGACAGTGAAAGACACTCCAGTGAAGAGAAAGGCAGAAAGCAAAGACAGAAAAAGCAACATACTGGGAAATGATCAGCAGTCTCATTTGAAACAGAGTTCCTTTGGGGAGACAATAACAAGAAACATTAGAGATGGGTGCATGAATGAAAACATGGAAAATCTCAAACTAAACATAAGCGCCATTTTTCTAGACAGGAGGGAATTTCAAAGAATAGAACAGGCAATAAGTAGCAAACTTTTGCCTGCAGGGATTTCAAGTGGCTATGGTGCCAAGGGGAAGATGAAACCAAGATGAACAGAGAGTGAGGCTGAATCAACATTCCTTGTAGTCTTTAAAGACTACATTTCAGACCTCACTTCTGGTCATACTATTCACAGAGTCAGCTTCCCCCATGTCTTCAAAACAAGGCATTCTTTTTTGCTATCAACCTTTCCAGAAATTCACTTTTATCACATTCTTCTAAAATCCCTTTCTCCGGGAAGTCTTCTGTAAAGGAGCACAGATAATTGATGCTAATTTTACTTTGTATCCTCCTGAGCTCTTAAGTACTTAGTTTTCTCCTCAGTTAATGCTAAACCTCCTCATTCTAAGTTAATTCAGATGCAAGTTGTATGAGGCTTTTGCTATTACTATGGAATAAAAGTTCAGAATATTGTCATTCTCTCCAATTTTTCAATTTTATACTGATAATAAAGGAGAGATTTAATCTAAAATGAACATCACCTTGTCTTCATTTCCTGAACTTTTCTTGTCCATTCCTGCTCTGTAATTTTTTTCACACGAGATTCCCTCTGTCTGGAATGTTCACCCTTACCTTCTCTGTGCTTCAAGATTTTTTTTGTTTTTTGTTTTTTGTTTTTTTTTGAGACGGAGTCTCGCTCTGTTGCCCAGGCTGGAGTGCAGTGGCCGGATCTCAGCTCACTGCAAGCTCCGCCTCCCGGGTTTACGCCATTCTCCTGCCTCAGCCTCCCGACTAGCTGGGACTACAGGCGTCCGCCACCACGCCCGGCTAGGTTTTTTTTTGTTGTTTTTTTTTTAGCAGAGACGGGGTTTCACCATGTTAGCCAGGATGGTCTCGATTTCCTGACCTCGTGATCCGCCCGTCTCGGCCTCCCAAAGTGCTGGGATTACAGGCTTGAGCCACCACGCCCGGCGCTTCAAGATGTTTTTTAAGGCTCAGCTCTTACCTCCTCTGCTATGGTCTTTGAAGAGATCTTTCTATTATTTATATTTTTAATATGCCTTCAAAATTTAGCTAGCACGTCATTCTTCATTAAATGCCTTTAATAATTATGATACATTTTTCAAGCTCAAAAAGCCTATTGTTATAACACAGTTATACCGATAATAAAGTCTGCATGTGGCATGGGCCCTCGAATTCATAGGCAGTATCAAACTCTTACCCCACTGATTCTGAGTTAAGAAAGGGCAGGTAGAACTATCCCCAAGGTATGGATGAAAAAAGTAATTCTCAGTGCACAGTTAGATGTTTGACATTTGACATGGAAGTAATGATTCTGTAGCATATCAGTATTCTCTACACAACATGTTCTCAATTTCTTTGTGGTACTTGACTATAGTACAGTCACAAAGAAAAGAATCTTGTTAGGTGATATTTGATCAACATCTTTACGGCTGAGCACGGTGGCTCATGTCTATAATCCCAGCACTTTGGGAGGCCGAAGCAGGGGGATCCCTTGAGCCCAGGAGTTCGAGACCAGCCCAGAAAACATAGCAAGACCCCATCTCTATTTAAAAAACTAATAATAAAAACTCAGTTCCCAACTTAGATGAGAGCTACATATCCAGCTGGGAACTAAGAATATAAAGAGCGTCAAGGCTGTTACTAATATCCAACTGGCTTAACAAAACCTGGGCATTGCACCTGGGCCTTTTCCATGCTTCTTCATGAAAGGAAAATGATGACTTTACCAAGGCATAAAAACACACTTCAGTGGCCCTGACGTAAATTATCTGACTAAATGTTGATCTAGGCTAAGGGCAAAAACCAAGAAGGACTGAGAGGAAGCAGCCTGCTAGCCTTCCCAGTGCCCTGCCAGCAAAAAGCACTTCAGTGAATTCTCTTCAGAGAGCCTTACATAAAATCCACTCCTTTCTCCTCCAAAGCCAGGCTCAAGTTTAAAGGAAACTTAGGATTTTAAGCTGTCAGACAGCTCAATATTTCAAAGAAATGAATTGACTACAGTAAGTACTAAAGCTAAACCACAAGATTTCAGGCAAAGAAGTATTCATTCCTAATTCCATGAATATATTTTCTTTCTTTCTTTCTTTTTTTTTTTTTCCTGAGACAGAGTTTCACTCCTGTTGCCCAGGCTGGAGTGCAATGGTGCAATCTCGGCTCACCACAACCTCCACCTCCTGGGTTCAGGCGATTCTCCTGCCTCAGCCTCCCAAGTAGCTGGGATGACAGGCATGTGCCACCACACCCAGTTAATTTTGTATTTTTAGTAGAGATGGGGTTTCTCCATGTTGGTCAGGTTGGTCTCGAACTCCCAACCTCAGGTGATCTGCCCACTTCAGCCTCTCAAAGTGCTGGGATTACAGGTGTGAGTCACCATGCCCACCCAAATATATTTTCAAACTAGCATTTTAGCCACATCCAATGGACCATTTGGGGTAGCATAACTAACTCAGAAGTTGTAATCCTTCACCTGAAATTCCCAGCTATCACCTACAACCAAGAGACATCACAAAAGCCAGGTGCTGACTTAAACATTTAAAGAGCTAAGAAAAATTGATCTGCTTGCATTGATTTGTATGAGCATCCATGACAGCTATTACAAGAAAGCTTTTCTTCTAACTGATACAGTAAGCTTTCAGTAAGATTTCTTACCATCAGCCTTTACATACTTCAGGACCTTGTTTATTTAAAAATTACTATAATCTACTCTCTAATGTGAGAAGCTTCTTCCCATTAGAGTATTACATATTAAATAGTTTGGGCACCACAATGAGAAATAAATAAGCAAAATGAAAGAAAGGTGGTATCTGCCATGAGTGGCAGTAACTCTATCAATGAGATTAACATCTTTTATAAAATGTAAGAAGCTAGTTTGTTTTTCATTAGATTTCATTGTCAACAATATATGCTCCAAATTCTGAAATTGTGATCCCATTATAGTGTTAACTGTTATTAATGGCTAATTAGGAAAATAACGATCCATGGTTATATCACTGCTAATGAACATGTAACGAAGTCCCATCACCCTAGACTGCATGAAGGTAGCGCAATTCTGTGCACATCTGCTCAGCGTTTGGGAGTTGGGCTTTCCCATTCTTTTCAGCTTGGATATGGA